ACCTGAATTTAGGATTCTTGTTATCTAAAGAAAAGGATGTTCACCTTGTTACATACATGTATGTGTCGTAAGAAATATAACATTTAAATGCCATCTAGGTATATCCTTTATATCTAAATAGAGAATCAAAAGGGTAAGGGTCCTTATCTTTATGTCTGAGACTGATGGTTCTCTAATTTTACCCCCTCCATCCAACAGTGTTCCCTTTCATATGTACATGGTATGTAAAGCTACTTAAAGAAGTTGAAACAAGGCCGATGACACCTGGGAATTGACCTCAAGCCTATTCAGACAGAAGGCCACGCACCAAACAACAATGGCGATCCTCACAGCTAAATATAATGACAGAGCAAAATCCTCACAACCTCTAACCACTTCTATCAATAATATTTTCAGTTACCAAAAAACAGGGGTCAAGTTGACCTTAACCCTGCCCTGTATTGTAAAATGTAGATTCAACTATATTTAAAAAATACACTCAATCATTAATAGTAGTACCAGCTGGCTTTGTTGAAGGAGTAGCAGCAGCATTGAAAGAAAAGCCTGTTGTGGTTCCAGAACCCAATGTGAGTCCTCCCGTTTGTGGTGTAGATGCTACCGTTGCCACAGGCTTACCAAACTGAAGGCCACCAGTACTGTTGCCACCAAAGTTAAATCCACCCGTCTGAGTAGAAGGCGTTGAACCAAACGATAACCCCCCTGTGGCTGCCGGTGCTGTACCAAAGGACACCCCTCCTGTGCTTCTTTGTGGTGTTCCAAAATTGAACCCCGGTTTTGCTCCTGGTGTTGCTGCAGCTGACGTACCACCTCCGCCAAAAGAAAACCCTGTAGAGGCTGGTAAAAGACAGTGTTAAAATGCTTTTTCATTCAGGTGGTTAACAGCTATGCAAATTTATTGAAGCAGGAGAGAGCGCTTACATTCAAACCTGGTGTAATACAATGTAAAGGCCCTGTATGTGGTGGTCACCCTGTACAATGTATAATACTGAGAAGAAACAGGTGGAATAAATGTGAAATATATCTCCATATTTAAGTGATGAAGAGACAAAACAAGCAAGATCAAAAAAATATCTCATTCTTTCAGCCTTGATGGAGTGAAACAAATGCAGTAAATGAATAATTTATCTCGTTCTGTAAGTGATGATGAGACAAAACAAGCAGGATAAATTTCTCGTCCTTTAAACCTTCATGAAATGAAACAAATGCAGTAAATGAGTAATGTATCTCACTCTTTAAGATTTGATGAAACAACACAAGCACAATAACCATGTTAGGATTTTGCTGAGCATAATAAAATTGTGGGTGACAAAACTCAGTATTTCAGGCGACTCAACTAAAAATTTCGGGTGAAATACTTCCGGCAGGATAACTTTCAGGCAACTTTATCTTAAACCCCTGATAGTGATTAACACCCAAAGTGTAGTTCATGAAGTGAATTGCAGTTTGCCAACGACACAAAATTTGTCAAGTTTCCAGAAAGTTACAAGTCCAAAAATTGCTCCTTTTGGCCAGCTTTGACAGATATGGCGAAAATGGGAAGAGAGCTAAGTCCGATCTGATCTAGATCATTCACTTCCTGTCTTAATTAGAAAACCTGAATACAGATTTACCTCAAATAAACCACACTAAAACAATAATTTGTTCTCATTTTGTGTAACGAAATTCTACCTTAGCAACTAATGATTTTATTTTGCCTTATTTGAGCTTTAATAGTCCACTAGTTCCAGTTAATTCCTCGGTGACCCCCCAGCTAATCAATTTTACCTACAGTTTTTGGGTCCCGATAGAACGTGTTCTGATCTTCCGTTGCCGGATTAGCTTGTAACGTGCAAATATTTACACTACAGGTGACTTAAATTGCGAAAAAGCATAGGTCAAATTAAAATAATCTGAAATCACCTGGTTGCTGTGTCGCTGCCGAAAAAGTGAATCCACCAGTCGCAGGAGCCGAACTAGCAGCTCCTGCAACAGTTGGCGCACCAAACGAAAAGCCTCCAGTACTCTGTCCAAGCTGAGGCCTAGCCCCAAATAATCCTCCCGGAGTTTGTTGCTGGTTCTGTTGGCCAAACATTTTGATTTTGATTTTTCTACAGATTTTCAAAAAGAAATTCAAAGCACATTGCCCGCCATTGCGAAAGGAACATGCGTGGTTACCAAGTTACATGGATGCCTGGCCTTCGAAGAGGAGGGGCTGGGCCAGGGGCTTGGGGAACTCTGGATTCCTGCTTTCCAATAGCCCGCGTAGCAAGCGTTTCCGTGCGGTTTTAATAGGAGCAAAGAACGAGGAACGAGAGTCAAAGACCGCGCGAAAAATGGCGCAAGCAAAAGAGCGGGAAGGGGGTGGGGAAGAAAGGAAGGAAACAAACTAGCCTGCGAGCAAGCTCTCCTATTTGGGCAAGCGAAGCGTGTCTCGCGAGAACGCGTCATGCACGTGCAGAGTTGTTGTTTCAGTTGTTTTGCTCATTAGGGCTGTTGCTTTTTTGACGTTCCCATTACCGTCGTCATCGTGGTTTCGTAAGGTCCCTAAAATGCGCCTGTTAGCCCTTTAAGGTCCTTTTACAGACCCAAATGACAGATTACCCTATCCTTTAGGTTATTTAGTTAAACTAGTGAAATCCCTAACCTTTTATNAGCTCCTGCAACAGTTGGCGCACCAAACGAAAAGCCTCCAGTACTCTGTCCAAGCTGAGGCCTAGCCCCAAATAATCCTCCCGGAGTTTGTTGCTGGTTCTGTTGGCCAAACATTTTGATTTTGATTTTTCTACAGATTTTCAAAAAGAAATTCAAAGCACATTGCCCGCCATTGCGAAAGGAACATGCGTGGTTACCAAGTTACATGGATGCCTGGCCTTCGAAGAGGAGGGGCTGGGCCAGGGGCTTGGGGAACTCTGGATTCCTGCTTTCCAATAGCCCGCGTAGCAAGCGTTTCCGTGCGGTTTTAATAGGAGCAAAGAACGAGGAACGAGAGTCAAAGACCGCGCGAAAAATGGCGCAAGCAAAAGAGCGGGAAGGGGGTGGGGAAGAAAGGAAGGAAACAAACTAGCCTGCGAGCAAGCTCTCCTATTTGGGCAAGCGAAGCGTGTCTCGCGAGAACGCGTCATGCACGTGCAGAGTTGTTGTTTCAGTTGTTTTGCTCATTAGGGCTGTTGCTTTTTTGACGTTCCCATTACCGTCGTCATCGTGGTTTCGTAAGGTCCCTAAAATGCGCCTGTTAGCCCTTTAAGGTCCTTTTACAGACCCAAATGACAGATTACCCTATCCTTTAGGTTATTTAGTTAAACTAGTGAAATCCCTAACCTTTTATTGACCTTAAGCGTGAGAAAGTTACCCATAGAAATTGCAACTTGCCACATTGGTAGAAGTGTGACTTATGAGTTGAGGATTAATGTTACGTTGACCAGAAAGAGAAATATAAATGTCACCATTTTTACCTTGCTCCGAAAAAATGACCAAAAGGTCTTGTAAATTTAAAATTTGTGAATTCCTTAAGACATTCCTGCTGTACGAGTCATCACACCTCCACACTGTGATTTCATTGCAGGTGTTTGCTCTAATTGTCTCCTGGTTATAAAACGGTCAGTTTCTTCCATTATTTTTATAGTTTTAGGAAACACATTTGTGATTTTGAGGGCCAAGCATTTTTTTTTTTCTACTACCACGGTAGAACGCGCAATGACTTGAAATCCGGCAAACAATTGTGTTGTTATTGTTCACGGTTTGGTAGCTTGTTTGTTGGATATCAACCATAATTAGTGGGATAAGTACAATTCACGTGCCCTGGTAAGATTAAACAACTAAAACTGGATGCACCTTCCACATTTTAAGAAGAATTTTGAATGCCAAGAACCTTCATCTGACACCAACAAGTGTTGTTCATTTTATATACAAATTCCTGTACCAAAAATTAACCCCCAAAAAACCCCATGCCATATTTCAAAGCCTTAAGAATTTCCAGAGGGCGTTTAATGATATAACACGAAAATAAATGCTTGTGTTTGTTTCTTCATCATACTATCTGAAGTTATCATACGCGGGCGCTAACACGGAAAAATCTTCAAGGCCACGCAAAAAAAAAATACTTGCCAAATTTTCCTACCCAAAAAAATACCGCAATCGCAAATTTAAGCCCGAAAAAACCCTTCGATCATCCCCGTCACTCCGTCATGATAGTAAAGAATTAGCATAAAAAAGAAATTCTAAAACTTTGCTTCTTTTAAATTTTTGCGGGAATCGTGCTTTGACATTTGATTGACAGACGACTGCAAGGGCTTTGCACGTGTGTCATTCACATTTGTTTTGAGTATCTGCACAACGGCTTGTTTTCCACTCGTTTTGTGGTTGACTGCTGGTTGTTTTACAAAAATTTTGTACCTCAGTCTAAAAACCTTTTGGTCATAAGGCGCTAAGCCGTTTAAAGAAGTGTCAGGTTATCGCGCGAAAAAATTAATGACATTTACACTCGAGCGTTTTAAAATAGCATGAAGATGTCTTCAATAACTCTGCCTTCAAATGGTGTCAAAAAAAGCATAAGTCATAACAATGTATATTTCAATTCGTTTGTTAATGAAATTGCAGAGAACGAAAACATTACATTGCAAAGAATTGACGAAGCTTGGCAAGTTCGCGACGTGGAAAAAATGTTGCAGCTCATAGAGGTAAGCCTGTAGTCAAACATCCTTTGAGTTTTTTGAATTGTTTAACAGCAAGAGAAGTAAAGTTATCAAAAGTTTCTTGTGAGCTCTTATTTCTTCTGTTTCATTATTTCCTTATCGTTAATTCAATTTTTTCATCAGGAGAATATTTTCCCCAGTGAGAAGATTCAGAAAAAAGTCCTTGATTATTGGGACAAAGCACACTATTATCAGGCGGCGAAGAAGAGCCGAAAGCCGCTTACTGCTTTAGCTAGATTTAGAATCCGGGAGCGGTAAGTCTGAANTGTCAGGTTATCGCGCGAAAAAATTAATGACATTTACACTCGAGCGTTTTAAAATAGCATGAAGATGTCTTCAATAACTCTGCCTTCAAATGGTGTCAAAAAAAGCATAAGTCATAACAATGTATATTTCAATTCGTTTGTTAATGAAATTGCAGAGAACGAAAACATTACATTGCAAAGAATTGACGAAGCTTGGCAAGTTCGCGACGTGGAAAAAATGTTGCAGCTCATAGAGGTAAGCCTGTAGTCAAACATCCTTTGAGTTTTTTGAATTGTTTAACAGCAAGAGAAGTAAAGTTATCAAAAGTTTCTTGTGAGCTCTTATTTCTTCTGTTTCATTATTTCCTTATCGTTAATTCAATTTTTTCATCAGGAGAATATTTTCCCCAGTGAGAAGATTCAGAAAAAAGTCCTTGATTATTGGGACAAAGCACACTATTATCAGGCGGCGAAGAAGAGCCGAAAGCCGCTTACTGCTTTAGCTAGATTTAGAATCCGGGAGCGGTAAGTCTGAAAAACTGTGCTCTAAAACATTGAAAACTCTGTTATGTCTTGCTAGAAATCGCCTTCAATGTGTAACAATGGTATTTCATGTTTTCGAAGTGCAAAAGGTTGACTTAGTTTTATGTCGATAAATGTTTCACCGAGCCGGTTGGGCAACAAGGCGCTCGCTCCGGGACATACATTTTTAACAACTCAAAAAACCTTTCGATGATTCCTTGTCCTTTTCGTTTCACATTAAAAAAATCCAGGTGTATTTCATTTATTACAATGTTTTTATTTTGCAAACAACAACAGCGACAAATAGCTGCATCGTATTGAGCAACAATTAATCGATTTAAAGTGAGCATGCAAACTTTTACACGGCATGGCGCCAAAATTCAGTGTGCCGATGTTACCATACTCTCATTCATGAATGCTTTTCAATAGCATTACTTTGCAAGACCACGTAAAGGAAACAGGCAACAAACGTCTTTTATCTATCATTTAAACAGTGTGGTGAACAAGTTGGGAAAATTTATATTTCCGTAAAAACATGGGAATTAACGAAAAGCAAATTCAGTATAGAACGAAGTCATTTTTGTAACATGTATTTTAAATTTCATTCATTTTTTTGTCATCCACAGAAATATACCACCAAGATCGATTGCTCCTTCGGGCAGACAGAAGACGACTCTACCTAAAGAGGCTACTACGATTTTGCGTGAATGGCTCGACGTTAACAGCCACAGACCTTATCCTACAAAAGAAGAAAAGGAAAGTTTGGCCAAAATGACAAAGCTAACTGTATTACAGGTATGTTTTGACATTTTACGTGGACAGCTGAGAAAAGCTAAAAATGTCCAAAAACGCGAAAAGTAAAATACTTCAAAGGATGTCATGTTGTTATTGATAACTCATCAATGTTCTAGCTCAGCTGATTTACTGAATTTCCATGCAACTTTTATACTAACTGAACTGAAAGTCTCAACCCAGAAGCGTTTTACCCAGTGTCGTGTGCTCTTTCATGGTCTTTCATACTATCCCTCGCCGTAGTTTAAAAAGAGGCTTAAAGTTTTTTCATGGAAATGTGTTCCGTTTTCTTGCCCATCCTTCTCTGTTATTATCTATTTGTATGACGAAACTTAATGATTTCATTTTGCGTAATAAATCGGCAGAACTTTCCACAACTGATTGATATCATTTTTGTGATGTGGAGCCCGGCGCTTACCTCCGTACGATCCAGCGCAGGAGAGGGAGGGGAAGGGGGAAGGGAACTCCAGGAAAATTGGGTTGGGGGTTGATTGTGTGCTTGGATATCAAAAGGTTTCAAATCGGTCAACGCATACTTACTGAAATAAACAAAAAAAAGTGAAAAAAAAAATTCGCATCCTAACCCATCCAGACCAAATTCCACACCAAAACAAAAGTCGAAAACTATGACATCTATGACAGAATTCAGACCAAAACGGCTGGGAACACTTACCCTTTGGCGTTGTGCAAACGTATATGGCTCAAAATTAATGTATAATCGGGGTGACAGAAGGTCCAAACCTTCCGCCTTCCCCCCTTTTTTTTCTTGGCTTCTTTCCTTTGGTTCTTTCTTCGACTGCGAAATATTAAGCAATGTGTTGTAATTGTCCCTATTTACGTCCCGATCTTTCCTATTCCGCCTCCAGTAACTTCTTTCTCCTTTTCTTTCTGAGTTCCATCCTTTGTCCTCCCCCACTTAGGCAACGAGGACTCCCCACCCCCTGCCCCCGCAGGTTTATGTTCCCTCCAGTCTTGCCTGACGACCTGCCCTCTAGAATGACTGTTACTAGCTTACATGACTTTTAAGATATGGCAGCGTGTCTTTCTTTGTGAAAAATAGATTCTACCTTTCTAAATAATCTGGCTTCTTATGATCAAATCTAAATCCGGAATTAAGAGAGAAAGTAATGAAAGTACACATGGCAGTTTTCCTGTGTTACCCGCCACATCTCGCCAGCTCACGCCAGTATTGTTGAAGCACTAAACAGTTCACTCTTGGAATTTTCTTTGCCTTCGTGTCAATCCAAATTGAAATAGTATTTTTTTTACTAAGAAGTGAATGACGTTTGTAGCTTAGGAGATAACGATGTTTGTCTGCCGGAGTTAGTAGTTTAGTCAGTACTTTGAAACATTGTTCGACAGAACAGCATAGTTTCCTTGCAATTCTTTTGTTTGACAACAGGTGAACACTTGGTA